AAAAGAGAAACTGACTGTCACATACTTGCAAATTATGAGAGCCCCTCACCAGAGCCTAATCATGTTGGCACTCTGATCTTAGACTTCAGCCTCTAGACCTGTAAGAAACTGTTGTTTGTTTTTTCCAGAGTGAAGCTCACTGGTGCAGTGTGGGAGAAGGGCTATGCCTTCCAGAGCTAAGAGGCACAGGTGAGAGGAAAGAGCTGTCTACACCTTACTTCATGTCCCATTCCTCCTGGCGTTGATCACAGGGTGAAGAGGAGGCTGGTTGTCTGTTTCCCCTCCTAAGTATAAGCCACTGGCTGAAAGCAGCTTTCTCCATCTAGCTCATCTCTTTGTCGCCAGGGAGTCACGTGCCTCATATCTAGCGACAGAACAAGATGTACCTTATAAAGGTACTATGTGCTGCTCACACGTAGAAAGGATGGATTCTGAAAAGGCTTTGCTGAAGAGCTACACACCCAGCCAAAATAGCTTAAAATTATTCTACAAAGTGATCTTCAGAGAGGCAAAAGCAGGCTAGTGGCAACAGTATCTGTTTGGATGTCATATGGGTCTTTGTCTAAATCCCAGAACTGCCTGTCTTAGTTGTGACTTGTTGAATAAGCTGAATAAGTGGTTTTTCCTTCCATGTTTGCTTCTTTACTTATAGTAATAATGTTTCAGGCAGTGGTTCTCAACCTGTGGGTTACAACCCCTTGGATTGCATATCAGATGTTGATATTACAATTCATAACAGTGGCAAAATTACAGTTATGGAGTAGCAACAAAATAATTTTATGGTTTGGGGTCACCACGAAATGAGGAATTGTATTAAAAGGTTGCAGTGTTAGGAAGGTTGAGAGCCACTGCCTTAAGAGAGAATGGTGAAGACCAACCTGGGTGGCAGTCAGCTTATCAAATAGCTCCCAAAGATGCCTACCTACTATTAAATCATGCCATCATGTCATCCTTTCCTCTAGAATGGACATAGTGATGACTAATGAATCCATTAGGAAAAAGAGACAAGATGTCACAAAAGGCTGATCTCCCTGCTGCTGGCATGCTGGATTACAGTTCTTCCATCTCACATTGATGGGGCAGTATTCAGATTGTAGCCAGAGAGGAACTGAGACCCATAGTGCATAAGGACCCCTAGGACCTCAATGTGGCCAGTAACATGATAACCATGAGCATGTGCTTGGGAGAGGATCCACCTTAAGTCAAGTTATTGGCTCATACTGTGCTTATGGCCTGAATCATGAAATTCAGAAAAGCTGGACAGCGATTGTCAACCTAAGGTCAACTGTGAGATTATACACTTTATCCTTTAAAGTAACTCTATGTTGAGTACTTTGCTAAATACTAATAGCTAACTAATGTACTATGTACCTCAGTATGACATGAAGCCAGCAAGATGGTCCATGGGTAAAGCCCAATGACTTAAATTGGGACCCACATGCTCGAAGAAGAGAACCAACTTCTATAGTGTCCTCTGATCTTCCTGCATATGTGCCACAGCACATAAGCACAGGCACACACATGTATAGAAATTCATACATCTAATAAAAATAAATAGAAAACAAACATATGGCATATATTATTATATTTATATATCTCATATATATATATAGTGACTATTACCAATCAAAACAGTTTTTGCTGGGCAGTAGTGGTGCACGCCTTTAATCCCAGGACTTGGGAGGCAGAGCCAGGCAGATCTCTGTGAGTTCAAGGCCAGCCTGGGTTCCAGGAAAGGTGCAAAGCTAGACAGAGAAACTCTGTCTCGAAAAACCAAAACCAAAACCAAAACCGTTTTCCTGGTAAGTCTAGATAGAGGCTCAGAATCACTTCCAATTAAGTTTATTTTATTAATTAACAATCGAAAGGAGCATTTGTGTGTGTATACATATGTATATGTATGTATATATATATATATAGTAATACATTATTCTCAAATGTGTATAAACTGTAGAAGAGTTCAATAGAGCTAACATATTAGCACATATATTTCCTCATGCATTTGTAGTCTTTTGGTGAAGTTAACACTTGAAACCTACTCTTAGTGGTTTTTGAAACTATGTTATTCTGTTTTAAAGTCAGACAGACCTTTGTCTGAATGCCAGTGCTGCCTATCTCAGTTATGCTCCCTTGAATAAGAGACTCTATGCCCTGTGCTTGTTTACTCGCTTGTAACAGTAGTATTCATTTTAAGAGGTCATGGTTAAGACTGACCAGCAAAAGTTCTGGGTGGCAGGTTGATGTCACCATGTTATACAATAGAGCTCTTGAACTTATTCTTCATACCTCAATGAAATTTATCTTTTTGACCAATGTTTCCTTAATTTCTCATGAAGTTTATATAATTGATTCATCTTTTGTTCCCCAGGAGCATGCACACACTAATGTAAACATAGTGGGCACTTGCTTCATCTTGGTGAGTAACCAGTAGCATAGAGCTTGCTCCAGTTTGCAGCAGGTTTATAGTCTAGACCGTGAACTGACAGTATTTAAATAAACACATGAATGACTATGCTGATTGCTTGCTGTAAGAGCAGTCTCTTTAGTGTTATTGGCATGGTTTGTCTCCTCCTCCCCCGCCTTTCTTCTTACCTTTCCTTTCTCTGATAGGATCCCCTGGCCTGACAGGCATATCTAGAAGGGCTCTGTTCTGATAGCCCATGGACAGTGTCATGAATCTAGCTTTTAATGACTCTTCGCTTGACACAGTCAGAGGACCACTCACAGACCACGAGACATCACCAAAGGGATAACTGTATGTGTGGAGAAAGCCTTGCATATGTGAGAATGTTTTGAGGTCATTTAAAATGTAACTTCAAATGACAAGTATTTTTAAACAAGGGATTGAATAAAGAAATTGATTGCCATTAATGCCTGAGATACAGTGCTAATTCACAGTAAAAATGATGTGTATACATGAGACATACATACAATGGGAAGGTGTCTGATGTACAGTTAAACTTAAAAGGCAGTTATTAAGTAAATACACATATAAAACTTCAGGATCACTTTTATGTGTATAAATATCTATATCCCATGTCCTGGTTATCACCATCATCCCTGGTAAACAAGCCAAAGAATATAGTAACAGATAAACATTTCAACTTGCCCAGGTAATACATTTATGCTATAGTTGGGGTCTTCGAGGACCAGTCCAGTGGTTGTCATGGATATTTGGGATAAATCAGTAAATGCGATTTGAAAGGCAACATAGTCTTTGTGCATGAACCCAACTACTGTAGTGGGTAGCCATTCCAGCTTGGATCTGGAAGTTCCAACCCCCATTGAGACTCTGGCAACTGTCATGCCTATGAGGCGGGGCCAGGGGAGGTGCCTGGAGACCTGATATCTGGATGGGTGAGCGCTCTCTGTTCTGGGACCCTGAACGGTGGAGGTGGACCTAGCAGAGCTCTAGAGAACACCGCTGGACTGTGATACACTTTCCCCAGACCCCGCAACCTACCTATCCCTTAATTTGTAAGTTACCCACTAAATAAATCTTCCTTTTAACTATGTGGAGTGGCCTTAATAATTTCACCAATAAACTACTTCCTATAATTGCCCAAATACATGTCCAGCACATATCTGATATCTAAAACTAAATGGAAACATATTAAGGAAATGTTTTCTTTGGCTACACAAAGCAATCACCTATGTTTGATGAGGGGAGTCAGTGTGCAGAAGAACAAATTTGAGAGTTACATTAATAGAATCAACTCCTACAGGTAGACACCAGCCAAAATTCTTTAGCTAATGCCCAACTCCCACCCCACCCCTGATATTTAGCTTTCTTTCTCCGTGTCTTCTTTTTCGACAGGTGGAATGTTTTATTAAGCATCCAGGATCTCTGGAGCTGTGCATGTCTTTGTGAAGATCCCAGACAAATTAGAAAGTCAAATTAGCAATGCATATTTAATGCTGCTTTGTAGTTGTTTTTTTTTTTTAAGTTGGCAGCAATGTTTACTCTTTGAGGGGGAGTTTATAATTATGCAAATTGAAGAAATAGTCTGCCTATGGTATAATGATAATGACGGGTTTTATATCCAGAGTCAAAGTATTTCTGTTCATTTCTTAACTTCACCTGTGACTTGAGGGGAGGTTAGCCAAGGTGGAGGTCTTATAAATGGATATTTTCATCAGTTTGATCTTAGAGGAATGGCTGATGAAATTTGCATAGCCTTATTGTCCCATAGACACTACCAATGGCCTGTAAAATGAACATCCACCTTCTTGTCTTCTTTCTAAAAAGATATTCACTTTGTTTACTTTGCTCCAGAAGACTCTGGTATTTCAGAGTTATCATCTCTAGACCTAGGAACACTAATGACTGGTTTAAAGTATGCTGGGTGGTCTCACATGCTCTGTCACAGGAGCACATGACACATTCAGGCAAATGAACATGTGTAGAAGTTTCCTGGGGATTTTCTACAAAAGTGCATGAAAAGAAAGACATCTGAAATCAGAATCAGGTCTTGGTGGCATTGTTAGTTGTCTCCGCTCTCTATGGACTTGCTCTATACAAGTCAATAACTTAAAAATATTACTTAAGCCATGTTGAGCCTATATTTTCTGTTGTTTACAGACAAGAACACATTTTTGTTTTTAAGACAGGGTTTCTCTGTGTAGTTTTGGTGCCTGTCCGGGATCTCGCTCTGTAGACCAGGCTGGCCTTGAACTCACAGAGATCCACCTGGGTCTGCCCCCCTGAGTGCTGGGATTAAAGGTGTGCGCCACCACCACCTGGCCACAAGAACACATTTTAATGATATATACCTTGATAGTTCCTAAATTGCTCAGTGTGTGTACACATGTTTATGTTCATGCATATGTAAACATTGCAGAGAAACTAGAGCCATATACTTGGCATCTGCTTGACTAATGAAGTTACTGACACTTGCTTAAGTGCACCGAAGGAAACAGTTGCAGTTTAGTGAAGCTCCTCTGGGCATCAAGGGGAGTCCATATTGTATGATCAACCAAGAAGAAGAAAAACAACTTACTATTCCCACTTTAGCTTTCACTGGAACAAGTCTCTGCAGTCACTCATGATCTTCCTGCCACTGTGAGGCTGAAAGACACAGGAGGGGGAATAAATATAAAATGTGCAATCTCATTTTGGCATCAGGCAGTAATTAAGTATTTTGCCCTTTCCATTCCAGCTGGCTGACTCCAGCTCCAAATAAACTTCACAAGCAAGCTGGACATTTTCCCAGGAAGCTGTTTCAATGGTAACGGTTTGCTCCGACCAGGGAATCAGGTCTACTGTTTTATCTGCCAACATGCAGAATACAAATGACGTTCCATGTTCTCTTGGATGTCAATCTAAATGCCTCCTCACTCCATGGGACACATCTTGGTCCAACCACTTGGTGCATTTCAATTTTGCCCCATAGACCAGTTCAGAAAGAAGATCAGATGTGATTCAAGTTAATGAAAGTAAAACAAACATGGTTGAAGATGTGGAGTGAAAGAGAAGATCGCTTTCTACGGAGCTAGATGTGGAGAAGATGCATTTATGGCAGCTATGTGTGTGTGTGTGTGTGTGTGTGTGTGTGTGTGTGTGTGTGTGTGT